AAGTACTACAAGTACTACAAGTACTACATGTACTACAAGTACTACAAGTACTACATGTACTACAAGTACTACATGTACTACAAGTACTACAAGTACTACATGTACTACAAGTACTACAAGTACTACAAGTACTACAAGTACTACAAGTACTACAAGTACTACAAGTACTACAAGTACTACAAGTACTACAAGTACTACAAGTACTACAAGTACTACAAGTACTACAAGTACTACAAGTACTGCAAGTACTACAAGTACTACAAGTACTACATGTACTACAAGTACTACAAGTACTACAAGTACTACAAGTACTACAAGTACTACACTACTTACTACAAGTACTACAAGTACTACAAGTACTACAAGTACTACAAGTACTACAAGTACTACAAGTACTACAAGTACTACAAGTACTACAAGTACTACAAGTACTACAAGTACTACAAGTACTACAAGCACTACAAGTACTACAAGTACTACAAGTACTACTACAAGTACTACAAGTACTACAAGTACTACAAGTACTACAAGTACTACAAGTACTACAAGTACTACAAGTACTACAAGTACTACAAGTACTACAAGTACTACAAGTACTACAAGTACTACAAGTACTACAAGTACTACAAGTACTACAAGTACTACAAGTACTACAAGTACTACAAGTACTACAAGTACTACAAGTACTACATGTACTACAAGTACTACAAGTACTACAAGTACTACAAGTACTACAAGTACTACAAGTACTACAAGTACTACAAATACCACAACTTCATCGGCAAAAAAAACAATAGCAATTAGATTTCAATTGTAGCCAATTGAAATCCTTACTTAATTGAGGATATGTTTTTCTTTTGGGAAGAAATTTTTTGACTTTTCTACTTTAAAGAGAGTCCAGATATAGTTTAGGGGGAGGGGGGGGCCACACACTAATCAGGAACCAACATTAGGTGAAGCCGTATCTTTGTTGGCTGTAGATGGTATTCAAGCTGAACATTGGCTTTCCTCCAGTGATCCAAAATGAGCTAAAACTCCGATAGCTTCATTTTGCTCAAATGCGCAGCCGACAGTTCGCCTCTGGTTCGATAGTTCGATATGCCATGATGTAGCAGTAGCTGCAAGCAGTTCCTTGACTGTCGCAACTGCCGTGCCATGCAACTCTTTCAAGTGCCCAGTCAAGTCTTCATCACTCAGATCTTGGAGGATCTACTGTCCATCGAAGACGTACAGCGGGTCTCCCAGGTTTCTTGGAAGACGTTGGAAGCTGTGCAGTGCTACGCTGCCGTGATGAACTTTGCTTGGCCACGGCTGGAGCTGGGCTTGGGGAAGGGGAAGACGTCGTTGCGCCAGTGGATGCCAGTCTATGAGGCCCTGCTTTGCGCCGTCGCAACGCCGAATTCAGGGTCCGTCAACAGCAACTTGAGACGCTTGAACCGTTTGATTTCCTTCAAACATACGCGGTACTGCAGCAACAGAGGCGATTATTTGAAACCCGTGCCTTGGCGCTTCAGAGCTGGCTCAATGGAACCATTCCTTCGGTTCATGTGGAAAGAATGCACCGCCGAGAAAGGATCCGCCAACCCAGACATTTGTGCTGCAACTTTTGTGGAAGTGCTGGGAGGTCAACCTACGTCCTTGCGAGAAAGGGAACCTTTGGCGGTCATTGCTATGGATGCCACTTATTGTGACTGGCTGGTGGCTTCTCAAATCTGTTTTGCTATGTTTGACTAATGTTAAACGTTCAACCAGGAATCGTTATATGGTTGGTGGTTTTGTTGATTATGACTATTTGGTTTGTATTTTCCTAATTTTCATAGACCATGGATGACCATGGTTTATTAAATCCGAGGTTGACATAATACTTGAATATTTAATATTATATAATAATATATATATAATATTTTCCACTCTCTATATATATATAATTATATTATAGATAGTATATATATATATATATTATATTTATATTATATAGTTATATACATATCACCTATGATGCATTTAAATTTATTTATTTATTGATAATATATAACATGTATATTATGTTATCTGTAATATATATATATATATATTATCTGTTATATATATATACATTATCATATTTACATATACGCAAAATATATATATATATTATCTTTATTTTATATGTACATATATACTGGGATGATCATCCCATTTGACCTTCATACTTTTCCAGGGGGCCTCACCAAGGTGAAGATGGGACAAAAGATGAGTTTTTCAACATGGCCGCGCTGGTCCTGCTGGATGACTTAAAGATTGCCTTGATCTTAACGTGGGCCTTCGAAATCACGGAGAATGAAGCTTTCTAGTGGTTTCACAATTTTTGATATTGTGGCGATTTGGATTTGGGGTATTATTTATATTTATATAATATATTTGATCAAAATGAAGCTGGCTGATGGTGTCACACTCTTTAAATGTCCCTGCATAAATTGATCAACCTGGGAGGCATAGTGACCCCAACAAGAACATGATGAAAGAATTGGGATGTAAGCAATGAGGACTGATTATTCCAACGTGACGCAAGCATAGGGTGCCACAAAATCCCAGGGTTAGTCGCTTTGTAATAATTTTCCCGTATAGAATGGTGATTTTATATTTGAACACATCATTTTCAGACAGACCCATTTTTTTGAATGTTCGTGCATCTACGATCTTTGGATGATTCAAGGGCGAACGGCGTTCTTTGTCAAGCGGGTTCAACCACCCCACACTTCAAAATCCTCAATGTCCCTAGACACAGTTAATCACATTTGTATTCTTACATGTGTATTCGAGCCCTTTTCTCTTAAAGTCCTTTAAGTCCTTTCCCTCCATCGTTTATGGAAGGCCCGCCCTCAAAAAATCCACGACCAGGAAGGATTTTTCAGCATCCTATTGGTTGGCGCTCGGCTGGAGGAGGTTTTGACGTACGCATCAGAGATCTTCGATTCGCCAGTCTGGACCTGGGCATCCGACCCACTGCCAGCGGCTCATGGTCAGGACGATGACGATGTTGCGGAGTGGTTTGGCTTCGACATGAGGAAAGTGGCTTCGTTTGAAGATCGACAAGAACTGCTGCCTGGAGTTGGATTTTTCCATTGGTGTACTAACTTGGCGATTCTGAATCACCCCATTTTATGGTTTATCTTAAGACTTAAGAAATTCTATTGCCCACGCGTTTTTGTTTGGATGTTTGCGGGAGGTGTTGATGGGCAGGTTCACATGGTCAATACCTTGAGTGCATGTTTAGGTTCAATCCTACCTGGGATGATCCCATGATGAATTCATCTCTGGCCCGGATGGCAAGAAAGCCAAGGCTTGAGAAGATTCCAGAAATGAGAACTGCCATGGAATCATCTCCTTTTCGAGACCTTGAGGACTTTGAGGAGTTGATGCACAACTTGCGCCCAGATGATGTGCCGCGACATCCAGCTGATGAAAAGACAGCTGCGACTTTCCTGGTGGTGGGAGGTCTGAGGTGAAGTCTGTTGATTGGTTAGATTGTGACTGTGTCTCAAAATGGCAATGTTGATGCAAACTAATGATAAGCCCAATGAGGTTTTGAAGTGCCAAAAATTGAAACGTTGTGTCTCAATACCAGCCCCCAATGATAGAATTGGGTTTGTTCTCTTACTGGTTCTATTGATGCATGTATATATATATATATATATATTTATAATTATATATATATATAATATGAACCTACTTCCGTCAATCAAACATGGCAATGGAAAATCACCTATTTAGTTCTATGACATTTCCATTAAAACTTTCATTTAGCGCGGCCATTTTCCAGCCAGCCATGTTTGATTTCCCAAGGGTATCATGCCCTGACCTGCCACCGTGACGCTGAGGAATGCATGGCGAGGGCCGCTATGAATGGCCTGATGGCAGGGCCTATGAAGGCCATGGCTGGTTTGGGTTGCCACTTGAGCATGGGGTAGTAAATGTCCTGCTTTGGGTCATTTTGAGCATCACTGTCAAGTATCTGTTGGAGATGAATTTCTCAATAGTTCAGTGATGTTGGACATTGTTTAGCTATAGGATATTTACCAACCCCTGTTTGAAACTCGGCTGAGCCAGGGTTCATTCATGGTACTGGTACCACCTTTTTTTTAGATAGATAGACCTTTAAACTTGAGGCCTAATAATTAGATCTGGTGTGTACCTAGATCCTTAGACTATCCATCTGAAAAAAAATATTAGTTATATAAGTGTATAAGTGTACGTGTTTTGGTCGATAATGCCCTTGTTCATTTTTGGGTCTATTTATGAAATATGTTTTTCTCTCAGGCATGTATATATATATATTGTATAAAAGGCCTATTCATGAAATATGTTCTCAATCAGGGTATATACTTCATTTTGATGGTTATTTAAGTTTGCAACATAGCAACATAGCCATGTTACCTCAGCCCGTGGTATGTTTATACCCAAGATTTGCGTTGGCTACGGCCCGTTTTGCGCGGCGCCGCTCGTGCCAGGTCAGTACATTAACGACCTCAAGGAGCTCAGAGCCGTTGTTCAATCTTGTTCATGGAGAATATGGCTATCAACCATTGAACATATGGACTAAACCAACAAACATGTAGGGGTTTCATGGGGTTTCCATGAATGGGGGATCCCTAAAATGGATGTTTTATAATGGAAATCCCCTTAAAATTGATGATTTAAGGGTACCCCTATTTTAGGAAACCCTGTCTATGGGGGTTGAACTATCAACAAGTGGGATTTAGCTATCAAAAAATAATGAAACAAGTGTGTAGTGTCAAAACCAACAAGGGGGACATCTGTGGGTGTGACTGAAAAATGGCAGTATACCCCCAAACTTATGGCAACTTGATCGAGGAAACCGAAGACACACTTATATGGACATATAAAGTCATATTTGATTCATTTCTGTAACATTTAGATACTTTTCCATACAAGATGTTTCTTTGATGTTTTTCATTCTTGATCAGTAAAAACGACATGGTAAATCAACTGACAATATTATATTTGTTTCAGATATCAGATAATTACCAATCTTGGTAAATTATAACGACTTCACTGCGACCTCACTACAATGATAGTTAGTAAGGGGAATCATCCTCACTGAGAGAAAGGAGGAACCCAAAGACAAGACTTGGGCTCCTTCTTGTGCACTGCCGGGGAGGGGTCCGCCAAGTAACGAGCAAGAAGGCGTTAATTATATTCAGGTTAGTGAAATAATTATATTTACCCAGAAATGAAGCACAAATTCTTGACAGACCTCGACCACTTTTCCTTGAAGTTGATGAGTGCGTGATTTCTCAGCCCGGCACAGGAGGGAGAAGGCACCTTCCTTTGGGCAGATGGGCGACTTGGCAGGTGATGTGTTGGTCTCGTAGTGTGCTATATGAAAATTGATGGACACAGTAGATGAGATAGATAGGTTTGACTTAGATAAATTGTAATTATATAACTATTATATTTAAACTACACACACTTAGTCCCATATCAGATTGCACAGGATCCTAGTGAGCAAAGGCAGGGTCTGTCTTTCGCCTCCGCTTTCGAGGCGAAAGTTCACTGGGCAATGGAAGGATGGCAAACAACATGGCGTCGGCGTCGGCAACCCAAGGGTCTACAGCGGCTACCGTTGGGCCCTTCCTGGGCTTGAACAGCAGATGGAAGATGGGGTCTACTGATGTTTAACCAACTAGAAGAGCGGTAGAATTGGGATATGATTCGGATAGTTCATGGAAATTATCAAAGGAAGTTTGGAAGTCAAACTTCCCACAATATGGACAGATGGGGAAGCAGAAGTGGTAAGAGTCAGCGAAGAGAAGAGCAGAAGAAAGAAGATCAGAGAAGAGAAAGAATCAGAGGAAAGAAGATGCAGGTGCGCGAAAAAGGTAGAGAAGTCAAAGCATACAAACACACACCATGCTCGGAGCACTTTTGGAAGCTGAGATGTCGAAAAAGTGCACGCCGTTGTGGCGCGAAGCACGTTTCCAAGTCAAAATGCGCAAAACACCATGTTCGGAGCACTGTTGGAAATAGAGATGTCGAAATCGTGCACGCCGTTCTGGCCCGCAGCAAATTTCCAAGTCAAAATGTACAAAACACATCATGCTCGGAGCACTTGGGAAGTGAGATGTCGAAAAAGTGCACGCCGTTGTGGCGCGCAGCACATTTCCAAGTCAAAATGTTAAAAAGGCCACATGTTCGGACCACTTTTAGACGTTCAGATGTCGTTTCGCGTGGCCGGCGCAAAGTATTCTGCACCGTGTCAAAAGAGAGCAAAACCCAGAGCAAAACGTCGGGGTTTTGTGGCAGCTTCGACTACAACCACCAATACACTACACTACATTCCACTCCACTCCACTACAACTACAACTACAACTACAACTGAGTAGCGTTTTTTCTGGATGCAAAAAAGCGCATATAATGTGAACTCCACAAGACATGTTGTGCCCCTGGCGTAGGCTTCCATGCAGACAGCGTAGGTTGCATAGGCGGCCGCGTAGGCTTGCTTTAGCCTACACGGCGTAGGCTTTGCGTAGACACTCGTTGACAACAGTTAGAACCCATTCACTTTTGCATTGGCTAGTTGTAATGTCAATCTTCTTCCTCCTCTGGATCGCCGACTTCCTCTTCGTCATCATCTACCAACGAGTAGCTCCCAGCATCCCAATTGCACAGCCAAACGTCATGCGACAATTGGAAACAAAAAGGAATCACAGCCGCGTAGGCAAAGCCTACACCGCGTAGGCTTGCGCAGGAAGCCCTTAGAAACCACACCCCGCATAGGCTACCTCATGCAATGGCGTAGGTTGGCGTAGACAGATGCATAAGTTATATGCTACTGGTCACCGAAAGACAACGATAAAAGACACTGCTCAACTACAACTACACTCAGTGACACTAAACTACATTACACTACACCACACTACACTCGATTACGCTACACGGCACTACAACTACAATTACAACCACCACCACAGCCACAGCCACAACTACACTACATAGCACTACACTACACACGCTACACTACACTACATTACACTACACTACACTCCACTAATTACACTACACTACGCCACACCACACCACACTACACTACAGCACACTAACTACAACTAAAGCTACAACTACAACTACGCGACTTTACACTACACTACACTAGGCTACACTAGACTACACTAACTACACCTACAGCTACACCTACAACTACGCTACTTTACACTACACTAGACTACACGACACAACCCTACATTACATTACACTACACTCATCACACCACAAATGCAACTGCAACTACACTACACTAATTACACTACACCACAACTACAACTCTACTACACTACAACTACAACCACAGCTGCACTACACTACAACTACAACCACAGTGTTGTGGGTGATGTGACCGACCAGGTGACCACTGCAACCATTGTAACCACTCAAAAAAACACAATTCCAACCACCTTTCCGTCCATCAGTGGATTCGCTCTGCCATCCGTGATTCACAACAACCAACCTCTCCTATAGGTTTCCTATTTTTGAAACTTCCGCCGCCGCCTTGTGTGGCACTACTGTATATTATATTTGGATATATTTGGGTGTGTCTGAAAATGGTTCGTATACCCCCCAAAATGACGATTTTCATGGAGAAAACATGATGAAGCAGCCAAGTTGGGAACCACATATGTTTCCAATGTCGAAAGGACGGAAACTTGTGTAGCACTAGGCGATTTGGAGACGTTAGCTATACCCAAAACTGCATGGGGAAAATGATGATAAACCAAGAGATGTTTAAGTTATTTCCGTTGTTTTCAGTCAATCGCGGGTGAATCTTTCTTTCCAGCCCCCTTTCCGGAAGATGCTCTCACTCATCATCATTTTATGATTTTTTTTGTCATCATCATTTTCCCTATTAAAATGGTTGCTACGTGGAGCATCTCCCACTTTGAGACCCATATCTTCAATGACTGCCAAAACAATACTATTTTAGATCTATATAGAATATTCATGAATATTATTCTTTAATAAATGTAAATATACGGACACATGCATGAATTGCATGTAATTACTGTTTTTAATATATATATATATATTTGTTATTTTTCAAAAAATATACGATATTTTATTTTATATCTTATGAGGTATTTATATTTACATATATATATATGTATATATGTATATGTATATATGTATATGTATATATGTATATGTATATACTTATGATATGATTTGATATATGATATATGTATGTAGCCATGTACTCAAAATCACCTTCCTACTGTGAGGTCTTTCGAACTGCTCACGGTGATCAACGCACTGGTGAGTGGAGGGAGGCTTGGGACCAAAAATATGGGACCTGAACCTGAACCGGCCAAGTTCCAACCGTTCCAACCGTTCCAACCGTTCCAGCAACTACGACTACAACTACACTACACACGCTAATTACACTACACCACACCGCACTACGCTACGCTACGCTACACTACATTACACTACACTACACTAACTACAACTACACTACTACACTACATTATTTTTTTCTCACTGCGCTACACTAAACTATACTACAGTCCACTAGGCTACACTCCACTACACTCCACTACATTACACTACACTCGATTACACTACACCACAACTGCACCTAGAAATAAGGCTAACTACACCTACAACTACGCTACTTTACACTACACTAGACTACACTACCCTACATTACATTACACTACACTGACTACAGCACCAGAAATGCGACTGCAACTACACTACACTAGTTACACTACACCACAACTACAACTCTACTACACTACAACTACAACCACAGTGTTGTGGGTGAGGTGACCGACCAGGTGACCACTGCAACCATTGTAACCACTCAAAAAAACACAATTCCAACCACCTTTCCGTCCATCAGTGGATTCGCTCTGCCATCCGTGATTCACAACAACCAACCTCTCCTATAGGTTTCCTATTTTTGAACTTCCGCCACCGCCTTGTGCGGTACTACTGGTATATTATATTTGGTTGTGTCTGAAAATGGCTCGTATACTCCCCAAAATGACGATTTTCATGGAGAAAACATGATGAAGCAGCCAAGTTGGGAACCACATATGTTTCCAATGTCGAAAGGACAGAAACTTGTGTAGCACTAGGCGATTTGGAGACGTTAGCTATACCCTAAAAAGCATGGGGAAAAGATGTTTAAGTTATTTCCGTTGTTTTCAGTCAATCGCGGGTGATTTTTTTTTTCCAGCCCCCTTTCTGGAAGATGCCCTCACTCATCATCATTTTAGTTTTTTTTTGTCATCATCATTTTCCCTATTAAAATGGTTGCTACGTGGCATATCCCACTTTGAGACCCATATCTGCAATGACTGCCAAAGACAATACTATTTTAGATCTAAATAGAATATTTATTCACGAATATTATTCTTTAATAAATGTAAATATACCGACACATGCATGAATTGCATGTAATTATTTTTTTAAATATATATATATATATTTGTTATTTTTCAAAAAAATATACGATATTTTATTTTATTTCTTATGATGTATTTATATATACATATATATATTTATATATGTATATATGCATTTATATATATATAGCGCCGGACAACTACTTAGAACATTGGTTTTGGAATTCCAAAACGTGTTCTAAGTAAAGATCCTGGACCACTACTTAGAACATATATGTTCATATATGTTCTAAGTAGAGGTTTTGGGGGTTCCCCCGTGTTCTAAGTAAGAATCCCCCCAGCTATCTACGTGCATTTTTGGAAAATCCTGTGTATATATAATATATTTTGAATATTGTAGTTGTCCGGCACTATATATTCATATAATAAAAACTTTCCAAACCTGATGTTCGAATCGTATGTACATCGCTATATATATATATATACACAGAGGTTTTGGGGGTTCCTCCATGTTCTAAGTAAGAATCCCACCAGCTATCTACGTGCATTTTGGAAAATCCTGTGTATATATAATATATTTTCAATATTGTAGTTGTCCGGCACTATATATTCATATAATAAAAACTTTCCAAACCTGATGTTCGAATCGTATGTACATCGCTATATATATATATATATACCCAGAGGTTTTGGGGGTTCCTCCATGTTCTAAGTAAGAATCCCACCAGCTATCTACGTGCATTTTGGAAAATCTTGTGTGTATATAATATATTTTGAATATTGTAGTTGTCCGGCACTATATATTCATATAATAAAAACTTTCCAAACCTGATGTTCGAATCGTATGTACATCGCTATATATATATATATACACAGAGGTTTTGGGGGTTCCTCCATGTTCTAAGTAGGAATCCCACCAGCTATCTACGTGCATTTTGGAAAATCCTGTGTATATATAATATATTTTGAATATTGTAGTTGTCCGGCACTATATATTCATATAATAAAAATTTTCCAAACCTGATGTTCGAATCGTATGTACATCGCTATATATATATACACAGAGGTTTTGGGGGTTCCTCCATGTTCTAAGTAAGAATCCCACCAGCTATCTACGTGCATTTTGGAGAATCCTGTGTATATATAATATATTTTGAATATTGTAGTTGTCCGGCACTATATATTCATATAATAAAAACTTTCCAAACCTGATGTTCGAATCGTATGTACATCGCTGTATATATATATACACAGAGGTTTTGGGGGTTCCTCCATGTTCTAAGTAAGAATCCCACCAGCTATCTACGTGCATTTTGGAAAATCCTGTGTATATATATTATATATTTTGAATATTGTAGTTGTCCGGCACTATATATTCATATAATAAAAACTTTCCAAACCTGATGTTCGAATCGTATGTACATCGCTATATATATATACACAGAGGTTTTGGGGGTTCCTCCATGTTCTAAGTAAGAATCCCACCAGCTATCTACGTGCATTTTGGAAAATCCTGTGTATATATGATATATTTTGAATATTGTAGTTGTCCGGCACTATATATTCATATAATAAAAACTTTCCAAACCTGATGTTCGAATCGTATGTACATCGCTATATATATATACACAGAGGTTTTGGGGTTCCTCCATGTTCTAAGTAAGAATCCCACCCGCTATCTACGTGCATTTTGGAAAATCCTGTGTATATATAATATATTTTGAATATTGTAGTTGTCCGGCACTATATATTCATATAATAAAAACTTTCCAAACCTGATGTTCGAATCGTATGTACATCGCTATATATATATACACAGAGGTTTTGGGGGTTCCTCCATGTTCTAAGTAAGAATCCCACCAGCTATCTACGTGCATTTTGGAAAATCCTGTGTATATATAATATTTTTTGAATATTGTAGTTGTCCGGCACTATATATTCATATAATAAAACCTTTCCAAACCTGATGTTCGAATCGTATGTACATCGCTATATATATATATATATACACAGAGGTTTTGGGGGTTCCTCCATGTTCTAAGTAAGAATCCCACCAGCTATCTACGTGCATTTGGAAAATCCTGTGTATATATAATATATTTTGAATATTGTAGTTGTCCGGCACTATATATTCATATAATAAAAACTTTCCAAACCTGATGTTCGAATCGTATGTACATCGCTATATATATATATACACAGAGGTTTTGGGTGTTCCTCCATGTTCTAAGTAAGAATCCCACCAGCTATCTACGTGCATTTTGGAAAATCCTGTGTATATATAGTATATTTTGAATATTGTAGTTGTCCGGCACTATATATTCATATAATAAAAACTTTCCAAACCTGATGTTCGAATCGTATGTACATCGCTATATATATATATACACAGAGGTTTTGGGGTTCCTCCATGTTCTAAGTAAGAATCCCACCAGCTATCTACGTGCATTTTGGAAAATCCTGTGTATATATAATCTATTTTGAATAT